CAATTTTTTTTTTTTTTTTTTTTTTTTTTTTTGCCCGTGTTTCTTCTACTAAGAATACAACAGCACCTACATATAACTCTAGATGCTTCTCCAAAAATGCTACTACCTATGAGCTATGACTACCAAAAAGCTCTGAAAATTAAATTCAAGAGGAACATATTATTGTTACACTCATAATCTAATGAAAATACCAAGCATAGACAAGAAAGATAATTTAGCCATCTTAACCAAAATAGAAGGAAGACGAGAGGGAAGTCCGGTTCACCGATGTATCGCATACCTATCATTTCTCAGTAGTCAGTTCTATGGTAATGCTATTTCAAAACAGGATTGCCCTGCCCTCTGAGCTTAGTAAACTGGAATTAAATAACTTCACCTAAATAGATCAGAAAGCAATGTACGACTACTACTACCGTTTTCTTTTACCACTACTTTTTTGCGCTTGCCCTGTGACATTACTCGGACCGCCTCCCGCTCTTGTGCTACCTTATGTTCTTCTACTGTATGGCAAGTCTTTTCTACTTCCACGACCTTCGCAGGCCTCTCCTCCTTACTCTTGCACTTCTTCATAACATGAACATCCCCTTCCTTTTTCTCAATGACCCTAACATCTTGTAGTTTATGGTGCTTCGATGAAGACCCCTGATCTTCCCTACTCTTGCGCTTCTTCTTCTCTACATCCTCTTTCTTTTTCTCAATTACCTCTTCATCTTGTAGAATACGGTGCTTCTCTTCAAGCGCCAAAGGTCTCCGATCCTTAATCTTGAGCTTCTGCTTCTTCTTACCATTCTCTTTCTTTTTCTCGATTACCTCTTCATCTTGTAGAATATGGTGCTTCTCTTTGAGCGTCAAAGGTCTCTGATCCTTACTCTTGCACTTCGTCTTCTTACCATCCTCTTTCTTTTTCTCGAATACCTCTTCATCTCGTAGAATATGGTGCTTCTCTACCACCGGCTCACTATCCTTGTGCTTCTTCTTCTTCTTCTTAACTTCCCCTTTCTTTTTCTCATTTACCCCCTCATCTTCTTCAAGTAAGTGCTGCCTCTCTACCACCACCAAAGGCCTCTCATCCTCACTCTTGCGCTTCTTTGTCTTTGCGTCCTCTTTCTTTTTCTCAATTACAATTAGCTCGTCATCTGGTACTTGACATGTCTTCTCCAACAAGTTTCCTGGCACCGAAATCAACTCACCCCTGTATAATTGATTTGTTCCATCGACCTTTTGTTGCTTCTTACCTGTCTCCTCGCACATCTCTCTCCCGGTCATCCATTCCTTCCCTAGAGTTGTCTCCCACTCGGAAAGGATACAGTTATCAACATTCAACTTGCGCTTCTTGGCCAACTCTTGTTTTACTTCAGAAGCATCTACTAAAATGCTCGGTTTTCCGTCCTTGACAAGCAGTTCCTTCTTCACCAGACAAGAAAGTTCTGTGTTGCAATTTTCATCCATGGTCTCGTGGTAGCTCTTCTCCTTGACAGCCTCTTCCTTTCTTTGGGAAGTTGCACAGCCCATGGTCTCAAGAATAACTTTGCCGAGAACAAATCTTGTCTCCCACAAATAACCCTTTCCAAGCAAGTGGTAATCAACATCAAAATTCTCCCTTCGCTTCTCATAACATCCAATATGATTCACCAGCAATTCGAAAAGTACCGCAACATCTTGCCCTACCTTCTTTGATACAAATACCTGAAATATTATGGCATTAATTACACCACAGGCACATATTTAATTAGGCAAAAATACTGTACAAACTATGCAGGTTGAAATAATAAATCGATAACATATACTAACCAAACCAGAGCATGGGGAAGTTGGGTAACTGGACATTGATTCAAAAAGACTCTCAGTATCGGTTAAAACATCTATAGAATCTTGCACAAAAGAAGCTAATTGAGAAACTTCTTCAACAAGTTGTTTGTCGGATTTGAATGTGAAGGATCTCGAGAGCTCAGGTGCAAAATTAACTTTGACTTCAGCATTTTCTTTTGCAAATCTAATACCTTCTTTCCAATCTCCATGATAGAAGATAGACGCAAAAGCCAAAACAACAAAAGGATCTTGAGGGTTATTGACTAATGCAAGGTGAAATGCCAACAATCCAACCCTGCCAATTAGACAAAAAATAATCAGCATCGACACACCAGACAACCTTGATTGTGGAATTACATAACATAGAGAATGCGCAGATATAATAATACCGATATTGTTTCTCATTTAGAAAGAAAAAAGATTAACATCCAACCATTCCCTTTCTCATTTACACTAGACTTAGAAATATGGTTTATACAGACAATTTTGCAATCCGATTGGATATGATTTAGTGGCTCTTAAGTTGCAGCTACATTGTGGAGTCATTTTTTATTAGGTACAATGATAAACATCAAAACAACTACACTTTTTAACTAGTCCTCAAATCTATTCCATTGTACAAAGCTGGGTCAACAACTGAAAAATCAAAAGAATTTGACAAGAATCAAACTACATGCTCTGAAACAAAATTACCCACGATACATCTATGAGACAGAGGTGCTTAATTTCGACATAACAATTTGGCGAAGGTTAAAAAAAAAAAAAAGTTATTCTTACCACAATCTGCAGTCAGATGGACGATCACAGCTAACTACTTTATCCAAATTGAAGAATAGTTCCTGTTAGGGGGAAAAAAAAGGGAAAAAAACAGAGCCTTATGAGAGCACTTAAATAGCATGTTAATTGACCTGCCTTAAAATGAAAGAAACCAGATTCTGACATGGTACGTATGCAACCAGCATAACAGCAAATGGAACAGAATATCACATTACAAGTCCTGCTAAAGAAAAAGCTGTACTAGACTTCTAACAGCCACTCCTTCAATCCGTAAGTATATAATGCCACTTACAAACACATTGAAACATCATTTCTATATTAAAGATAATCCCAAACCTTGGAATCTAGAAAACCAAGGATTATTGCGTTATTACTACTTCTTAGATATAACTCAAGAGTATTTCAAATAGTGAGTCATTTTAAGGTCTTATGAAGTACAGAAAAGAAATAAATAGTTAAATGATTGCCCTTTTAAAAATATTACTTTTCTCTGTTTGGGGAATCTCAGTTTCCTGAGCATTTCCACAACTTCTCTAAATAATATTTCAGTAGTTGTACTTACCATCAACATTAAAGAATTCTCATCAGATTTCTTGCTAGCCTGTTGCTCAAGATATGCTGCCTGCAATCCAAATAGGGCCCAGCTACAAGCTTAAATAATAAGTAAAAGCCTGTCCTCTAATACTGGGACTCCAAAAAAATTAGGAAAAAAAAAAACAACAAAACAAAACACACGCACAGACATACATGGATGGGAAGTACAATTTTCAGGAGATTGAATTTCTGAAGCAGACAAAGTGAAGGCTTAGCAGCTCCGTATGAGAGCATATAGTTCAACTCCATCATTATTCTGGCCTGAATGAAGAACGAATATTATTTCAAGACCAATGACGTTAAAAAAAGAATCTTAAACATTAAAGCTAGATATCATTTCACTCTAGCTTCTTTGGATACCCTGGCCAACTTCAGAATGGACGAAGAAAGATCATAAATTGCAGTTTCAGTGTCCTTTGAAAATGACAAGCCTAGACGTGCAGCAATTCTTAAGCCACGCAAGATTCTTGCTGCAGTTTCACCACAGAATTGTCCAGTTTAGTTGTTATGAAACAAAATTCAGCACTTGGCTCAAAAAATTATGGTGCCAAAAAATTCACTAATATGTAAGGGGTGGAGAAAACCTACCACAATCCTCTTCAAATGACACTTTTGCGGGGATTAATGTTCGTAGCTAAGTTCAATTTTTACCCAACAATGAAAAAATATTAGTAAACTTCAAACATGAACTAGAAGGTTAAACTTATAAGCCAAAGGAGAAGATAAGACTTATGTAGCAAAATAGAAGGTGAGAATTATAGGGGGAATGTGCAGAAACAATAAAACAGGACAAGAAAACTCACTTCTAAGGACCTCAAGTCTGACATTCCATTGGCATAATCATATATTTTGTTTGAGTAAGGGTCAAAGAATAAACTGTTTCAACAATTTTACAGAAAATTAATCTAGTTAGACGGCAATGTAAATAAAGTAACAGGTTCCGCTAAAAAGGAGAGTTTCTTATATTCTCAGCCATGTTCTGCAAAAGGTACCTATTAATTGTGAAGTCTCGCTGCGAGGAGTTTCTCCAGAGCATAAAGTCTCTTTTTCCACAGCCTTGTGGTGCTTCGGAGAAATCAAGTTTTTCTTTTTCCCCATCCTGTTTAGCCACTGTGTCGAAACTAGACACCTATCTCATACATTGGAGGAGTGGGTAACATGTTAGAAATTATGCAAAGTGCACTGCAAACTGCAAAAGGTGCAAAAGTGCAAAGAAGTATTAAGAAATACAGTAACAAACCTCGGTGACAGAACCTTGAATATGGACTCTACATATCGGGAATCGTTGTCCAACGATAATTGCTCTACGGAATTGCTTCTTGATCTGATAAGATGACAGCAATGAGTTAAAACTTTGAACCTTGTAACACGATGCATTTACTGCAACCGAAAAAAGAAAAAAAAAATCTTAAAGCAGTGAAAAAAATTACCTGGTCAAGATTAGCAGTGGTGATAACATCAAAGTCTTTAGGAATCTTGTTAAGAAGCAAATCTCTCACGCATCCACCCACTAAGTAGGCATCAAAACCTGCATTGTTTATTTCGTGTTAAGATAGTTAAGAGTCCCAATTCCAGAATTCTTCTATATCATAGGAACTCCATTAGAATTTTCTAATGAGCAGTAATAAGTTAGTTGGTGATTCGTGATTAACACTGCAAAACTTAGGAACTCCATTTAATCAGTCACGAATGTACAAAACACTACAAGAATGGACTTCTCTGAGTACCTCATCATTCAAGAAAATACACTCTCTCTCAGGAACTCCATTTAATCAGTCACGAATGTACAAAACACTACAAGAATGGACTTCTCTGAGTACCTCATCATTCAAGAAAATACACTCTCTCTCAGGAACTCCATTTAATCAGTCACGAATGTACAAAACACTTCAACAATGGACTTCTCTGATTACCTCATCATTCAAGAAAATAGACTCTCTCTCTCTCTGATTAACACTGCAAAACTTAGGAACTCCATTTAGTTAGTCACGAATGTACAATAACACTACAAGAATGGACTTCTCTGAGTACCTCATCATTCAAGAAAACACAGTCTCTCTCTCTTTCTTTCATGTGTTTGTTCATTCCTTATGAACAAACACATGAAAGCTCAACTTCTCACAATAAAAAGCGAATCATACAGAAACCGAACACAGAACAGCATTAACACACAAACTAGGTCAAATAATCAGAAAGGCAGTGTGCCAGACCGGTATTGAAAAACGTTTACACTAGGAGGGATAGGAGCGACAAAAAGACTAAAGTTGGGGGTCAATGAGTAATTTTAGAAAGTGGCTAGGCAGTGACGTGGCAAAGACTGGAATCAGGGTATTTCGGGGGCTGGAAGGGATTAGGGCAGGGGTCGAGTTTTCTTTGGTTGTCGTTGTACTGAATCCACCGTCGGTGGCTGGGAGTTCCGGAGTACTCGAAATCTCTGGGTCTATCGTGTCGTTTGTCTTCTGTAATCGTAGTTGGCTGTTGAATTCAATAAAAGCTTCCCTGATTTCTCTCATCTTCCACGCTGTGCCTCTGTGTGTGTGTGTTTGGCTGCGAAAACTAACCAGGTCCCTTACAAACTGGTATCAGAGCATTACGGTCCATGGCGCCTAAACCGGCAGATCCGGAGAGGCTGGTCGCGGCAGAGAAGGGGCTGACAGCGGTGCAGGAAGTGGTGCAGTCCCTGACGGCCAAGCAAATTCCATAGATTCGGGAAGAAATCGGTGGGTTGAGGGAGGAGATGAGAAACCGGATCGGCGGGGTCCACGAGGTACTGCGCCCGCTGGAAGATCTCATGGGTCGACGGCCAGCTCAGTCAGAGAACGCGCCGGAGCAAGGGGAAGTGGTCCCGCGTGGCCGAAATGGCCCGAATCCGGGCGATCTGCGTCGGGGAGGTCCGATTGTCGTTGACCCAGTCGCAGACGAGGTCGCGCCGCCACGGGATGGAGGGCCGGAGGTCACACGACGGCCACGCGAGGCGGCGGAGGTGGTTGGACGTGGCCTGGACGAGAGGGGAGGGAGGCGTGGTCCTGTTTGGCCACCGGATCTGGGGTGGGAGCGCCAAGCCGACCCAGTCAGGGAGCCTCCGAGAGAAAGGGGTGGTCGCCTCATCCGGGAACCCAGTCTCGAACGGGAACCTATGGGGGCACGGCGGGGTAATCACCTCGACCCTAGGGTATGGGGAAATGGCAGCAGAGTGGGCGGGGTTCCTGGCCGCCGAGTTGGGGAGGTTTGGGAGGAGAATGAGGATGAACCTAGGCGGGCCAAGGGCAGACAACCGTGGGATTGGGAGCAGGGACAGTGGCTTGAGACGTCGGAAGGTTGGGGTAGAGGGGAAATACGAGGAAGGAGAGTGGAGATGCTGAGTTTTTCCGGCGAGGACCCTTATGGGTGGCTATTCCGGGCTGAGCAATATTTTGACGTGTATGACGTGCGGGAACGGGATAAGGTGGCAGTGGCTTCCATGTGTATGGAAGGGCGAGCATTGAACTGGTTCAGATGGACGGATTCTCAGGATCCGTTCGGAGAATGGTGGGACTTGAAGGCAGTGATTTTGAAGAGGTTTAGTAGAACAAAGGAGGGGGATCCGATGGAGAGGCTTATGGCGTTGAGACAGGCGGGGTCAGTGGCGGACTACCTAGACCGATTTGAACTGCTGTCTTCGCCGGTGCGGGGATCGCCGAGAGCTTTTTACATGGGTGGTTTTTTGAATGGTCTTAGGGAGGATGTGTGTGCCGAGGTTAAATGCATAAGCCGACGGCTCTCCAAGAGGTTATGGAGATGGCCCAGCAGATTGAAGATCGGAATGAGGCGGTGGAAAAAATGGGAAGGTGGAAGAGCAGTCGCGTTGGGGGTTTGGGATGGTCATATTCGTTTAGTGAGACCCCTAGTGGCCACGGGCCATTTTTGGGGAGCCTCCTTCGGGGAGATCGGTCGTGGACGGGCTGCAACGTCCGCTACCCATAATCCGGGAGGAGGAGCGAGGGGTTATAGCAGTTTGTCGGAGGAAGAAGTGCAGCAACGGAGGGCAAGAGGACTGTGCTTCAAGTGTGATGAGAAATACAGCCCCGGGCATCGGTGTAAGAGCAAGCAACAACTTCAATTATTGCTGGCCATCAAGGACGCGTCGGATGGGGAAAGCGACCCGAAGGAGGAGGGGAACTCCGATCCCTGAACAAGCGGGAGAAGGTAGACCTTTCCCTTAACTCTGTGATGGGATTTAATTCAGTAAAAACTATAAAAGTTAGGGGCACAATTGGCTCCCGAGGGGTGGTGGTGTTGATTGACAGTGGGGCGTCTCATAGTTTTGTGTCGGAGGCGATTGTGAAAGAACTAAAGTTACCCTGTAACTTGTCGACCAAATGCGGGGTGCAAGTCGGCAACGGCATGTGTTTCAAGCAACAGGGAGTATGTGGAGGCCTGGAGTTGTCCGTACAAGGGTTCACGGTGGTGGAAGATTTCTTCCTATTTGATTTAGGAAGCACGGACATTGTTTTGGGAGTCACATGGTTGCGGACCTTGGGAGAAGTGCGGGCGGATTGGTCTCGGTTCACCATGAAATTCAAGGTGGGGGACGATTGGGTGAGTTGGAGTGGGGACACCGCTTTATGTTGTACACCCGTGAGCTTTCATTCGATAACCCGAACGGTTGGGGGCACACAAGTGGGGGAACTCTGTGAGGTGGTAGGGCGGGAGGATGATAAGCACTCGGTAATCATACCGGGGGAGTTGCGGGAGGTGATAGAGGGTTTCAGGGTTGTTTTTGAGGAAATTATAGGGTTGCCCCCGAAACGGGCACATGACCACCGGATTGTATTGAAGGATGGGGTCGACCCTCCTAACATTCGACCTTACCGCTATCCGCACTTCCAAAAGGGTGAGATTGAGAGGTTGGTGGCCGACATGATTTCCTCCGGGGTCATTCGACCTAGTAGCAGCCCATTCTCTAGTCCGGTAATCTTAGTAAAGAAGAAGGATGGGAGTTGACGCTTCTGTGTCGATTACCGAGCTCTGAACCAATTGACGGTACCGGATAAATTTCCGATCCCAGTCATCGATGAGCTACTAGATGAGCTCCACGGAGCGAAGGTGTTTTCGAAGTTGGATTTGAGAGCAGGATACCACCAAATACGGGTGCATGAGAATGACGTAGAGAAAACCGCCTTTCGGACGCACGGAGGCCACTATAAGTTTTTCGTGATGCCTTTCGGCCTTACCAATGCACCGGCGACGTTTCAAGCCCTTATGAACTCGATCTTCCGCCCATTCCTACGCCGATTTGTCTTGGTGTTCTTTGATGACATTCTAGTATATAGCCGGACTATGGAAGAGCATCGGGGCCATTTGGGAAAGGTACTAGAGATGTTACAGGGGGAGAAGCTATTTGCTAACTTGAAGAAATGTGCTTTTGGCCGCCATAGCTTGGAGTATCTCGGCCACATCATTTTGGGCGAGGGGGTTGCGCCTGACCCTTCCAAGGTGGCCGCCATTAACTCTTGGCCGACCCCTAAGTGTATTCGAGATGTGCGGGGGTCCGGTTTGTGCGGGGTTACGGTGAGATTGCACGACCCTTGACCAATTTGCTCAAACGAGGGGGGTTCGGCTGGGAGGAAGAGGCGGCAGGCACTTTGCGGCCCTTAAGAGGGCCATGACCACATTACCAGTGTTGGCTATGCTGGACTTCAACAAGACATTTGTGATCGAGACCGACGCATCGGGGGCTGTCCTTATGCAGGAGGGCCGGCCCATTGCTTATTTTAGCAAAGCACTTTCGGAGCCAAGTAGGCTAAAGTCGGTTTATAAGAGGGAGTTGATGGCAGTGGCATTTGCCATACAAAAGTGGCGTCACTACTTGTTGGGGCGACGCTTTGTGGTCCGCTCCGACCAACAAAGTTTGCGGTACTTATTGGATCAGCGAGTGCTTCCACCGGAGCAGCTGCGTTGGGTTACCAAGCTTCTGGGGTATGATTTTGAGGTGCAATTCAAACCGGGAGCCGCTAATAGAGTGGCGGATGCATTGTCTAGGAGGGATGATGAGCAGCCAATGACTTTGACTGTCATGTCCATTCCCCAGCGGTTGGATATGGAGGACATTAGGAGGGGACAGCGGGGGGATGGCCAATGTTCGGGGTTGCTCGCAAAACTATTGGCTGGGGAGCAAGTTCGGGATGGATACAGTGAGAAGGAAGGGTTGTTACTCTATAAAGGACGGGTGGTCTTACCGCATTCCTCCCCATGGATACCCCGGTTGTTGCACGAGCTCCACGACTCGGTAGTGGGTGGCCATTCGGGCTTCTTCCGCACGTATAAGCGGGTGTCAAGCAATGTGTTTTGGCCAGGCATGAAAGAGGAAATAAGAGATTATGTGGCTCGGTGCACAGTTTGTCAAACCGCCAAAAGCGAGGCTATGTTGCCAGCGGGGCTGTTGCAACCCCTTCCAATTCTTAACCGGATTTGGGAGGACATTTCCATGGATTTCATAGGCGGTCTCCCTAAATCGGAGGGACGGGACACAATCCTAGTGGTGGTGGATCGGTTATCCAAGTTTGCACATTTCTGCCCCCTTGCTCATCCGTTCACGGCGAAGTCTGTGGCGGAGCTGTTCGTACGTGAGATCATTCGGCTCCACGGGGTTCCTCGTTCGATTGTGAGCGACCATGATCCTATCTTTACGAGTTCTTTTTGGAGAAAGCTCTTCAAACTTCAAGGAACTCAGTTGCGCACAAGCTCAGCCTATCATCCCGAGTCCGATGGCCAAACCGAGCGGGTCAACCACTGTTTGGAGACTTATTTACGGTGCTTCACTGGGGCTAAGCTGCGGTCGTGGCTGAAGTTTCTTCCTTGGGTTGAGTACTGGTTCAACACAACCTACAATGCTTCGACGAATCATACACCCTTCTACATAGTGTATGGCCGGCATCCACCTGTTTTGTACCGATTCCAGGACACTCCTTCAATGGATGAGGAGGTGACCAAGCAAATGTAGCTACGTAACGATATGCTAGAAGAGCTCAAGGAACAATTGGTGAATGCGCAGCAACGCATGAAGCATTTTGCAGACCAGCGGCGGCGAGAAGTCAGTTTTGCGGCTGGGGATTGGGTACTCCTCAAGCTGCGTCCGTACCGACTGAAGTCCTTGGCCAAGAAGCGTAATAAGAAGTTGGCTCCTCGTTACTATGGTCCATTCGAGATTGCTGAGAGGATTGGTACCGTGGCGTACCGACTCCTACTTCCGGAAGACGCACACATCCACCCGGTCTTCCACGTTTCACAGCTCAAGGCCTTTCGAGGCGACACCCCAGCAAGTCAGCCCCTGCCGCCACAGCTTTTCAGAGGAGCTCGAGCTCTTGGTTCGACCGGCAGCCGTGTTGCGAGCCCGTTATTCTCATGCTGGAGGCCCTTCTAACTTGGACCTCCTCATTCAATGGGAGGGGCTGCCGGAGGGGGAGGCGACTTGGGAGCCACTCGACTCAATTCATCACCAATTTCCCGACTTCAACCTTGGGGACAAGGTTGATCTTGAAGGGGGGGTATTGTCAGACCGGTATTGAAAAACGTTTACACTAGGAGGGCTAGGAGCGACAAAAAGACTAAAGTTGGGGGTCAAGGAGTAATTTTAGAAAGTGGCTAGGTAGTGACGTGGCAAAGGCTGGAATCAGGGTATTTGGGGGGCTAGAAGGGATTAGGGCAGGGGTCGAGTTTTCTTTGGTTGTTGTACTGAATGACGGTGGCTGAGAGTTCCGGAGTACTCGAAATCTCCGGGTCTATCGTGTCGTTTGTCTTCTGTAATCGTAGTTGGCTGTTGAATTCAATAAAAGCTTCCCTGATTTCTCTTATCTTCCACGCTGTGCCTCTGTGTGTGTGTGTTTGGCTGTGAAAACTAACCAGGTCCCTTACACAGTGAGTCCTAATAAATTAACTGTCAAGCTTGACAAGTTAAACTTAGGATTTTCCAAGCTCCTAGGTTGGTCGTTAAGAAACAAAATCCTAAACTTTTATCACATAACATATGGATATAAGGATTACGAGTCAGATTCTGTGACGTTGTGATGTAAGATAGATTAACAACATAATTATCATGAAATTAGAGGAAATATCACTTAATTAAAGTCAAAAGATTGATAAAATTGTACCATGATTCCGCAGAATTTTCAAGACAGTCAATGATGATGACGGTACCACGCTGCGGTCTATCCCAAGAGCTCTCGAATCCACAATCTTCCATTTTTTCATGTACACCGTGTTAGCTAAAAAAGCAAAAAAGAATTTACTTTAGCAAATATAATTGAACAAAACTATATATAATAACTATAACAATATATATGTGTGTTTGTATATATATATATATGTGTGTGTGTGTGTGTGTGTGTGTGTATATATATATATAGATTCACCTTTGCGAGCTCCAAAAAGTGAGCTCATTTTGGGTGGCATTCCTCCAGCTTCTTCAGCCAATGCATGGCAGAATCTCTGCAACAAAATAAAAAATTAGGAAACAATGATCACAAACTGTTTGAGAAAATGCGTCAATGAAAAGAAAAATTTAACACTAACAAAAAGGGGTCGGAGTTAGCAAACCCAAGCACACAAACTGTTCGAGAAAATGGCTCAAAGAAAACAACGCGAAAATTCTCTTTTTAATAAAAAAGGAAAAAGAAACTAACCCGTTGAAGAGAAAAGAGGAGGCGGCGAGAGGAGGAGGATGAGATCTTGGGGATCATCGGCCCATGAATGATTTTATTTTAATTTATTTATTTATGTTTCTCGCGCATGTTCTTCTTCGTCTTCTTATTTTTCTCTATCTAAATGAGTGAACATAGTAACACAAACGACACAGATATTACATCCTTAGCACCCAAAAAAAAAAACGACAAAAATACGAAGTTCTTGCGACAGTTGCTTTTCCACCGTTGACAAAGTGGGCCCATTTTTAAATGGCTGATGAGGGACCCGGACTTTGTCATAAAAATAGGATGGGATTGTGGCCGCGTTGGCCTCATCTGCACCGTCGCCAAATGTGGTGGACCCGAAGAAGATTAATTTTGACCGGAGAACGTTTGGTGGATGCATTTAGAATTATGATTTATAATTACTCTCAATTTTTTGTATTTTTTATAAGAAAAAATATTGTAACGAGTCACAAATTATAATTCGAATCATGACACGAATCCTTAAATTAAATACACACTAATAAAAAATGTCAAAATATTATATAGAGAAAAAGGGGAAAAGAAAAAACTAAGAAAATTGCAATTAATAGAAAACGATATAAAATTTGTTAAGGTTCTCTCCAATTTTAATTTCTAAATTATCTTTCACTTTTGCTTATTTTCCTCCTTATTTTAGATCACTTGCGGTGAAAAAATTAGAACGTGATCCTAAATTTGAGAGTTGTTAGATTGGTCGGGCTTTGTTATTGGTCGGGTTCTGGTCTGACCCAATTGTTTTTAGCACCCAGACTGGGTTGATTTAGGTCCAAAAGTATTTTTGAACTGGCCAATAATTTAGGCCCAAAAGCATTCTCAAATTGGCCTAAAGTCCTTTTAAATTTTTTAGCATAACATATCTCGTTAACACACTACAAGAAAAAGGAGTTTTTGCGACGACAAAAAGTCGTCGCAAAAACCCAAATGTCGTCGCAAATAAGGATTTTTGCGACGACGCGTCGTCGCAAATTTATCGGCGTAAATAATTCGTCGCAAAAATGTTTTTTGCGACGACATAGTGTCGTCGCAAATGTATTTGCGACAACAATCATCACTAATACGTCATTGCAATTTCTTGTGATATGATCCATTTTTTGCGACGACATTTCAAATTGTCGTCGCAAAATAATCTTATTTTTTTGCGACGACAAGTCTAAAAAGTCGTCGCAAAAAACCAAAATTAATTTTTTTATATTTTTTTAAAAAATGGCAATTATTTGATTTTTAATATTTTTAATTAAACATTATTATGTTACATATTGAATAGAATTTATTAAGATACATTAAAAGTGAAATATAAATTAATATTATAAACAGTAAATCTAAATAAATTTATAAAATATATTATGAATACTACATGAAGTGCATATATAATGTTCAAAAAAATATAAAAGTCTAAATAAAGTGAAAAATGAAAAAGTACATATAACGGAACTAATCGTCTAAGTTTGCAGCATCGCCAGCATCTAAATCATCATCAGGATCGTCATCATCTGAATGAGGCAGAGGAGCGTCTAGGTCAACTGGTTATGGACGATCAATCGTAGGTAATTGGATGTTGGGCTGCAATTTAGCCATCAATTAAAGTTTGTTAAATTTTATTCATTAAAGTTTGTTAATGAACTTATTAAAATTCTCGTTTTCTAACTAAATTTCGGTAACATAACGGCTTATTTTTCTTATGATCCAAAAATCTAAACTTGCAGAAAAAAACAACTTCAAAAGATTTCGGCACACCATAGCTGCAAGATGTGCCACCCAGAACAAGAATCACAAACATATACTAAATATTAACAATATAAGAAAATCATAGTTCAAATATCAAAATCATAATCCCGAATTCATACAACCAAAAACTACAACAATTTTAAACTAAAAGTACAATAAATATAAAAAACTTACAAAGTTCAAACCCACTAAACGGGGGCTGAAAATAGCGGGATTACATCGGAGGAACCGGGCAAACAGTGACGAAGGTGAAAAATTAAACGCCTACATCAAATTGAAACATCGAACATAATTTAACGTGACTGAAATTAACATTTTATTAACATCTAGAGTAACATATTTAAATACGCAAAAAAAATTTCATTCCTCGGCATTAAATCTAATTATGTTAACAAATTATGTAAATTAATAAATTAACCACTAGCTCAAAAATAATTCTAAATTAACGTCATAAATTAACATTTACACAGTCTCATAGTAAATGTTCAGAAACCTCATTTAGACATTTTTACAAACACTTTACAAACACTTTACAAACAACTCAACAAAACACATAAAAACAATAAAAAAAAAAGTTACCGGAGTGTGTAAAACATACCGGTAAACGTCGAACGGTGAGGCGGCGATGGGTGATTCGGCGGGGCGGCGGTGGCAGCGAGCAAGGGAAGAGAGAGAGAGAAGGGAAGAGGGGGAGAGAAGGGAAGAGAGGGAGAGAAGGGAAGGGAAGAGAGAGAGAGAAGAGGAGAGAGGAGTGGCGGGGGCGGGCCGGCAAGGGGAAGAAGAGAGAAGGGAAGATAGAGAGAGAGAGAGAGAGAGAGAAGGGAAGAGAGAGAGAAGAGGGCCGGTGGCGACGGGCGGCGGCGGTAGCGAAGGGAAGAAGAGGCAGAGAGAGAGAGAGAAAGCGTTAGGGGAAAATGAAGAGGAAGAAGATATGGTATATTAGATCAGACTTATTTGCGACGACATTGTCGTCATAAATAAATTTAAAATGTCATCGCAAATAATCATTTTTCCCGCATTTAGTTTTTGGTGAAATCTTAAAAAGATTATTTGCGACTTCAAAGAGAAACTGTCATTGCAAATAACATGAAATTATTTGCGACGACATTTGTCGTCACAAATATATTATTATTTACGACGACTTGTCGTCGCAAAAAATGGATTACCTTGGCGGTAAAAATCCGCACCATTAAAATTTGTGCTCCAAAATTATTTGCGGCGACATTTAAGTTATTAGCGACGACATAGTTATTATTTAACGGGGAGTAATTGCGATGACATGTCGTCACAAATATTGTATTATTTGCGACGACAATTGTCGTCGCAAAAAATGTCGTTGCAAATGGCCTTTTTTGTTGTAGTGACATCATATCTCGTGATATGTAACATCATATCTCATTAACATCATAAGTGTTAATCCGTCGGTTTCAGGGTCGGGCCAGCCCAAACAGACGTAAAAAAACCTCTTCATGTCGTTAAGTCTCGATCAGGCAGCTCGAACTTCACTTATGGTTTGAAATATAAGTTTGAGTGACCAATTTGATATGTGATTCTGATTTGAAACTGGCCCAAATTAGCATTTTTCTGATTTGCCTATCTTTTAAATTTCATCAAACCAAACCTATTCTATGGTACCCAATACAAAAAAAATTAATTTATTAATTAATAATTACCTATCTATATGTCTTATTCTCAGTTCAAATTAATGTTCTCAACACGTATACAAATAAAAATGTGGATTTTATTTTTTGTTCACATTAACACTTTAACTGCAAATTTAAATGTCAGCTCAGATTACAGTTTAATCCACATAATTCAAATTTTATAGTTCAAACTAGCATACTAAACCTTAAATAACCCTGTATTATATCTAAAAGAAATATATTTGTAATTTTTCTTTAAGCAATAAAGAGGCAATCGATTAGCTTTACTAGGATGTAAGGTTACTAATTAATTATTATTTTTTAATTAATTAACTTTTTTTTAGTCGACAGAGTTAAAAGTTTTAGTTGCACCCAATTTGTTATTGAATGCATCTTAGTCTCAATGTTGTAAATAAAAGTGATAACTTGTTTATTAACGTACTAGGGCCCAGATATTTTGAAAAATATTTTTTTTTAAAACAATTAGTGATTTGGCTTTAAAGACTTTAGTCTCAATCATGATTCTGAATCTGTGAATCAATCCGTAAATTCGTAAATCGAGAAGTTTTGACATTTATGAATGGGGTCGGGTCTTACCAACAAAGAGAAAATGAGAGAAGAATATGAAAAAATGGCAAGGTCAGAAAAAAGAAAAGAAAAGAAAAGAAAATGGGAGAAGTGGAAATAGAAAACATAAATGTGAGAAGTTTTGACTGTTTAGTTCACGGATTCAGAATCATGATTCAGAATTATTCTCAATTTACGTGTTTTTTGTGTGAAAGAAAACACTGAAGGAAGTCACGAACTATAATTTGAATAATGACACGAATCCTCATATCAAACACCAAATCTACTCATACCAAACACCCTCTAAAAATCTATGGTGGAACACAATTATAAATTGTAATTTTTAAATGAGATCACAGTTATTATTCTTCATATGAAATTATAAGAGGCACAAATAAACTAAATTTTACAAATATATATATATAT